TATATATATATATATATATATGCACACACAGCATTTAGTAGCAATCCAAGCTATTTTTAAGTACATGCCAAAAGATACAGATGTGCAGTATTAAGGGTCTGTAATGCATCATGGAACATATCACCATTCACAAGTTGCTTAAAATAGCTCATTTTGGGGTTGAAAGGTTGTTTCTCAACCTTGGCAAATCACTTCCACATTTAAATCCTTTGACGAGGGGCTCAGACAACAGATGGAACGTACCACAACAGACTGTAGGTAGGGGTTTTATTTTTCACTGCTTTCCCGCTGAAAAGCTCCCTATCGCTAAAGTTAATCTTTTTAAATTAAAAACAAAGCAAAACAGAACGACGACTCTGGTTTATATTTCGGGATGCCGAGACTCCTGTTGTTTTTTAGAGCTTGTGCAGTCTAAAATGGTCCAGACCAGAAAAAAGGCAAGAAAAAGCCACATCCTTCCTCGCAGTCTCGGCTGCGCTTCGTAGCCCTGAAAGGAAAGACGCCGCTGAAGGTCTTCTCCTCTTCCTTTTGCATCTACATGATGCGCAACTTCGTACTGCATTGCGGCTTCTCGGCGCTGCAGGTTTCTGCGCGGTTTCCCCGTTTGGTCTTGCATCAAACGCTTTTGGGCCGAGCCGGCCCGGGGTCATTCCTGCTACCTAGATTCGTTCGCGCCCGGGATGCTGTCAGGAACCTCCCGGTGCTGTGCTTAGAGCCCTTGGATGGAGCGCCCAGATTCAAGTGATCCCGAGCGAGGGCGCGGTTCCCAAAAGTTGCTCGGCCGGCATCTTTAGGGGCGAGGCAGGAGCTCCGCTTGTAGGAGGGATAACCATGAGATGAAGAGTCGAAACGCTGCCGTCAGAATCAGTGGAAAATGACGCCTCGTTCTCAGAATGGAGAAGAAGCGCTTGATAGGTGCAAAGGCCCAGGGAACCCTCCCCACGCTGGCCCTTGGCATCTTTGAGGTCCGGTGAATTAGTTTGATCGGGGGGCGGGGGCGAGGGTGAAGGGCTTTTTTTCTCCCAGGCCAGTCTTTCATGGCTCCGTTTCCTGTTCCTGGAAGACACTTTCACTCTGTGGAAATGGAAGGTCTTATTTATGTTGTATGCTTACGATTTTGTCTGTTGGAATTGCCTTGAATGAGTTTTTGCCTAGAAATACTTTAAACCGGAATGAAAGGGCATCCTAGTTGGGGACTATGGGAGTTCATATCCAATACATCTGAAAGGCAAACAGCATGATCCGCTTCTGAGTTTAAATGTACCTTTTTTTTTTTTGCAGTGGCTTCCTTGACTAATTCGTGGAATGTGGACAATCTTTAGGATATGGAAATAGATTGATGCCTATTGCAACAATAACAGCTATTTAACAATTGTCTGCATCCAGGGCCAATATTAAGAAGCTGTTTTTCTATCACATTGCTTTTTTAGTTTTAAACAGGAAAGAACTAATATGAATTCATTTTCTGATGGGAAAGACAATATGACCTGGGTCATGGAATTACTGAACAATATCAATATGTCTCCATATAATATCATAAACAGTTTCACGGATTACTCAGCATACTTTTTCTGGGTTTCAGTACTGTTCCTACTTCTCTTTTCTCCTGTTTTAATAATTCTTGGTTTTATTTATCTTTCTAATTTTCTCTTGCATATTTACAAGAGAAAAGTTAACTTAAAGGAAGATTATCTCAGTCAATCATGGGACAATGGACGGAGGACTGTGGCTCACCTTTGGGACATGTATGGTACACTGTGGCATGGTAAGTTTAATCTCCTGCTTGACTGACACGTTGATGTGGCTTTGTTGACAATACCACAGTGATTTATAATAACCTTAAATGGCATAGGGGGACCACATGCAGCAATCACGTGAGCGTCAGAACCCTCCATCAAGTTGCATTGTTTAATTATGTGTGGGGAATAATCATATCACTGGATTTAATGTGAAATATCTAGGTAATGTAAGTGCATACACACATATCATGACAACCATGTAATTCCCTTGGTGATAAATGTTTTTTTTTGCAAAGCACAGAAAAACAGTAAGAAATAATAAAAATCTCACTGCATGTAACTTATTGGAGGAATGCAGGTAACAGGATGTTAGCTTCCCCCCTCCCCCAAAAGATTAGAAACCCTATCTTGTTAGAAAAGCATGAACATGCTTGGGATAAAATTGTTTTGGTTGATTTATACTGCTATGTGCTAAAACTTATCAGTATTTTTCTTATTCTGGAGAGTGCTGCATAGAAACAACTGAAACTGCTTTTTTATCTTTCTAAAATGTGTATGGTTTTGCTATGAATAAGTCATCTTCATTGTCCAGATCTACTTACTTTTCAGCAAGTGTTTTAAAGACGAATGCTACCTTTGGGCTGAAAAAAAAAGTAAACCGAGATAATGATTTACAGAAGGCTCCTTGGTTACAAACTAGTATATATTTCTAAGAGAGCTCAAGGACTGCATTGCTTCATATCTGAAACCAAATTTTGGAATATGCATGTGTGTATATGCATAACAGTTTGGAGGTGCATCTTTTTCTGGGCTCACAAATACTTGTGTATGTCCAGGAAACAATGCATTTGACTTAAGGAGACACTAGTAGGTAATAACAAAGTGCTTTGTGGAATTGGTACCAAATTAATTCAAAGTCATATTTTCCTTTCATACTGTTACTATTACTGCTACTATTTCTCAAATATGGGAATATTTACTTAAGGGGTTCTCAAAAGCAGTATAGATACCGTATTTCTCGGAGTGTAAGACGCATTAGAGTATAAGACACACCAAGGTTTTGAAGAGGCAAATTTAAAAAAAGTAGATAGGTAGATAGTGGGATAGAGAGGGAGAGAAAGAATGAGAAATATAGTAGGTAGGTAGGGAGAGAGAGAGAGAGTAGTTGGTAGGTAGGTAGATAAAGGAATAGAAAGAGAGAGAAATAGAGAGAGATAGAGAGTGTTGGTAGGTAGGTAGATAGAGGAATAGAGAGAGAGAAATAGAAAGAGAGAGAAATACAGTAGAAAGATAGACCGAGAGAGAGTAGGTAGGCAGATAAAGGGAGAGAGAGAAATAGAGTAGGTAGGGAGAGAGAGGGGGTTAGATAGGTAGGCAGAGGGATAGAGAGAGAGAAATAGAGATAGAGAGAAATGCAGTAGATAGGTAGGTGTTTATGCTGGCATAGCACTTGATCAATGTAATTCTCATCAATCAGTTAAAGAATTTTCCAAAAGGAAAAAAAAAGTTTTTGCACTTTGCAAACCTCCCAAAAATGGTCCGTTTTTTTAAAAAAAAGCATGAATAGCCTTGGGGGGGGAGGGCGGCTTGCAGAGTGTTCCTGAGGGGGGTTGGAGGGGGCAAAAATGAGCAAAACCCAGCCTGTTTTTTAACGAAAACTGGCCCATTTTTCGTCAAAAAAATTTCATGCATAGTCTTATGGAGGCTTATAGACCGCTGCTAGGGGCTGAGGGGCAAAAAATAGCCAGTTTTTTGCTCATTTCTGCCCTCCCCAGCCTCCAGGAGCTCTCTAAAAGCCTCCATAAGGCTATGCACGGCCATTTTGGTGAATGGGAGGGGGTTCGGGAGGCAAAAATGCTGTATTTGGTGTATAAGACACACCCAAATTTTCAGCCTCTTTTTTGAGGAAAAAGGGTGCGTCTTATACTCCGAAAAATATGGTACTTCTCTTGAAGCTAGCATTTGGCACATACCCCAATAATCATGGGTAGCTGCTGTATATTATGTTTTGATATTGTTTTATTTGAATGTTGAATTGATTTCTATAGCAACTTGAAATTTGTTATTTAATTATTAACAATAATTGTAGATCTGAATCTACACAATTCTGTGTGATGAATTGACATTCAAAAATATATACTTCCCAGAATAATTTGAATGACTGGAATAGAAATTTGCAAAAAATGAAAAAAAAAGGGCTTATCAATGCTTATTATATTTCTGAATGTTATGAAATGCCATTGTAGCGCCTTCTTCAATAATATTTTACTGCTTGGTTATATAAGGCAAGTAGATTTCTGTGGCAGCATGATACATTTATGAATATTCTGACATCCATTAAAGTATATATATATAACAATGCAGGGGAGTAAAGTTTGCTGGGTGTTTATATACCGTAGCTTTGTTACCAGTGTTGGTAACACTTGGGGTGAGTATTGTTTCATCTTAGATCTTGTTTCTCTGCTGTTGATTTCTTCTTATTTGGGTGTAGATTAATAGGTTTGCAGTGAGGAAAGATTAGTAGGTTTTCTGTTTCCTTCGCCTATACAGGGAATCCTTGACCTATGACCATTTGTTCCATGAATTAGAATGGCATTGAATAAATGGTGGATTACAACCAATCCTTGGAGTTCTGGCTATCCCAGTACTCCTGCAGTCATGTGAATGTCCTGCAATCATAACATCACCATTTGCAACCTTCCCTGCTAGTGTCCCAAGAAAATCAGTGGAACAGCTGACAAGGAAAATTGCAAGTTGCTGTAGTAAATCTCCCCCACTTGCCCCTCTGCGCTCATGTACCCTCCCCCCAATCCCTTTGTGCTCATGCCATGCTGGCCACTCATGCACCCCCAGGAATCCTCCCATACACACTTTCCTCCCTTTCATTGCGTGCCAAAAGGCACGTGCACATGCCCACACCCATAATGCAATGTGAGTGTGACACCCCTCCATGCCCCGCCCCCTGAGTGTGTGCGGGCAACCCCCGCACTCCTGGGCATGTGCACGCAACTCCCTCAAACCCCGTTTTTGGCCTAGCAGGCCTCCCTGAAGAATCCTGGGCCCCAAAATGGAGTGTGGAGGGAGCACTGCATCACTCTGTGCTCCCCCCACCACCATGCACGTGCACATGTGTGCGCATTTCCACATATGCTGCTCCCTGTGCATACACAGAAGAGACCCAGAAATCAACTGGCTAGTGGGAGGCGCATGTGCATGTGTGGTGGAGCTGGCTGGGGTGATGGCTTGTATGCCATCAGGGCTCCCTTCCCAACATGCATCAAGCCTCACACACAGCCTCCCCAACCCAGACATCTCATGCACCCTGGCACACTCTTCCCAATCCACACTGCATCTCATGGACCCTACTGCACCTCTTCCTGAAGCGTGACATGTTTATCCACATTTGCACATCCTCCCTGATGCTCTGTTGCACCCTTCATTGCACCATCCTTGCTTTATCCCCTATTTGACAGCACCCTCTATGCTACCTCATAGCCCAGGACTTTCTGCAAGCTCTTCCACTGACTTTGCTTGTAGGAAGCCAGCAGGAAATTGCCTCACCTTATGATTTTGGGATTCCTTTAATGGGATTGTTGGGATTGCCATTGCTAAATGATGTCATGCTTTATGACTATCGTTTAGTGACAGAAATTCCAGTCCCATTGTAAGTTGAAAACAACCTGTAGCTGCTTCCTTTCTTGAATAGTTTGTAGATGCAGCTTTATCTCAGTGAATCTTCTCACAATTTTCTTCCTATTAGCCTCGCTTGGGATGTTCTAAGACCTTGCATCTAATCTTGCAAAGTTGTCTGTTTTATCCTCTTTAGCTGTGTGCACATTGTTTTATGATGCACCTGGATATGTAAATTGCTGTTATTTTTTTATTACGATGGCTGTGTCCAAGAAAAACACTCTTCTGTAATTATTTTCTCTTGTGAATCTGATTCCATGAAAGCCGTTCATGGAATGGCACAAAAGAGATCCATATTTTGGACTGTATCTCTGAGACGACTATTACTTCTAGAGATTGCACTACATTCTCTACTGTGAATCCTGAGATTCAAAAGCTTAATCCTCTAATCTGTTTCTATATTTGTTCATCAAATTGGAAATAGGTGATGAGGCTGAGATCTATCAGTCCCATAACTTTTGGTATTTTGACAGTATAAATGCTGAAGATTATAGCAAAGAGTTTGATTCAGTTTTTTGATCTCAATAACTGTGCTTATATTGACTGCAGTTTTCTCTAGATTCCATGCTAATCTTAATCTTTATTTTTATTAAAGCAATACTGAAACTCTTATATTTTATCCTTTAAACAGGTTATGAGATACATGGGATGGATAAAATACCAGAAGGACCAGGGCTTATCGTATTTTACCATGGAGCCTTTCCTCTAGACTATTTCTACTTTGTATCTAGGTTATATTTAAGAACAGGCAGATTTTGCTGCACAGTGGTTGATTACAATTTTTCCAAAATACCAGGTAAAACATGTTGTCTCCTGCACAAACGCTGTATTGCAAATCTTTAACACAGGCATAATTACAATTTATTTTTAAAATATTACATAGTTCCTGTAAAATGCAAGCTTATATAGTTTCTTGAATGTATTTTCGACATTTTGATTGTTACTGAAAAATACCATTTTTGTAGCCTGAGCCAGAGCAGCTTAAGTCTGTTCCACTTTTACTAACATCTTTTTTTTCCATAAGCAACTTAGATAAATGTTTTTTGGTTGTTTGAGAACAAAAAATGTCCAGGCAAATTATTGAAAATAAATTTTCTGTTTCTCTTTGCCTATATAATAAGGAAAAATAAAACTTTCTTTTAAATGATCTTCAAAACATGTACAATTTTCTACTTATACTGTTCTGCTCATTCAAATATCATTCAGCCTTGGTTTCGGGAGGCTTGGACATTACTTTCTGGCCTCCTTGGACTATGCAACTGCCCGGACTGCGCAGATTCATAATTTTTTATATACCTGTAATTTTTACTAAATATTTTAAATGTGTGGGGAGAGTATGGTATGATTGTGACTGACTGAATGTTCCCACTTTTATTATAATATTGTTGTTCTATTTTAACTTGTATTGTGGGGATTGATTGGTTGTATGCATGGGTATGTTAGGTGGGCTGGGAGTTTAGCCAGATCCTCCTGCACTGAGTGCTTTGGCAGAAGTGCTGGGGGGACCCGGGCTCGGTTCCAGCCCTTGGATGTGTGTGTCGAAGGGCCTGCCGATGAATCTGGTGGCTGGGGGGAGAGGGTGGAGGGACCACAGATGCGGGAGTGGGCCGGAACATTGGGGTCATAATGGGGAGGGGCAAATATGGCGGGAACTTCAGGGCTAGCCATTACTGGGGAAGGAGGGCTTGTTGTTAACGTACCTGCCTCCCAACAGCGTGGCAACAGCCCTCCCCTTGCTCCTCGAGTCAATAGCCGAGCTGGC